GTGAAGCCCCGAACAAAGGGGCATTCAGGTTATATAGACACAAGTCCATGGAAAGAATGAGGAAGTAAACTAAGGGGCTTTCTACAGGGAGCTAGTAAATTGCCCAGGGCTTCCACAACTTTAGCATTTATAATGAGAGCGGCATCAGCTTTAGTATAAAAGCAAAAAAGGCAAAGGTTAAATTTTATGTTTACAAAACAGGATAGGCACAGTTTAATTTTATTCTTACATTCCCCCATTTTGCATTTTTGGCAAGGAGTTTTAATCATAAAACTTGTGTACCCATAAGAGTATTGGGATAAGTGTCTCGGCAGCCGCCTGGCGGCGTCAGGCAGCGGCCCAGGAGGCGGGTCACAGTGCTCGGCCTCGTGGCGGCGGCAGTGGCCCAGCCATTGGCGGCGAGCGCATTTGTGCCTGTGTGGTGAGACCCGTGTCTTTCTTCCTTCCTGGGCTCTCCCCGGGCAGCGTGGGCACCGGGGGAGCCCTTAGCCGCCTCTGGTAGCCAGGACCGGACAAGGGTTTGGTGGGTGGCGAGAAGCGCACTGCCGCCTCTTCGGCCACAGGCTCAGCCACGGGTTTGGCCTCTGCCTCAGCCTCGTCACCCGCGGGGGGCAGCGGCGAGGCACTGGAGTTGCTGGACCACTGCGATGTGTGCCGGGAGCGCCTGTGGCCAGAGTGGGAGCCGTGCCTGCTGCCCTGCCTGCATTCAGCCTGCAGCACTTGCCTGGGGCCTGCAGCACCCGCCGCCGCCAACAGCTCCGGATCGGTGGCGCAGTGGGTGATGGCGCTGTGGTGGACTGTCCTGTGTGCAAACAGCAGGGTTTTTTCAAATACATTATGGAGAATCATTTTATACAGAGAGTCTGGTGCAGAGCTATTTCTTTTAGCCACAGATATCCTTACTATTAATCTCTCTGAATTGTATTTCTATGTGGTTCATTGCCAGAATGCATCCGACAGTAGGAACCCTGTATGGAATTTGGTCTAGGGCAGTATGAAAATAGTATCTGTGTGATCAACAGACATCAGAATATATAAACAAAAATAAATAAATAAAATAAGTCCGATTAAAGAGGGGTAGGATGGAGGCACCCAGGCCTAGGGCCGGCCCATTGATGGCCACCACAATGGGTTTCTTAAACTGGATAAAGGCCTTCATAAAGTCCCTGATGGCTTCGGCAGTCCGAGTGCTCTCCTTTCTTTGGTCACTGGACAACTGACCAATTAGGTAGGAGTAATCTAGGCCACTGCAGAACACAGTCCCCACTGCACTGAAGAGCAGCAGTTTGCTGTCATCTGTGGCTGCGTTGCAGAGTGCTTGCCAGACATCCTTCATGATCTCAGGTGTCAGTGCGTTGTTATCCGAGGTCTGGCTGGACAGCAAGATGTGTGTGACCCCTTCTTTCTGCACGACAATATTTTGAAACCGACAGTTGCTTTCATTCTGGCAGATGCTGTACCTGAGCCTCTTGTCAAAGACATAGTCCTTTTCT